CAGCTGGTGTTTAGTTGACCACCAGTTACCAATCCACTATACCCTGAGATGGTCATCTCTGTACTGGCCTGTGGGCCACCAGGCATGTCACTTGTAGAACATTCACCCCTGCTCAAGGAGGAATATATATAGTTCCCCAAGCCAGTATTCAGGCTGTGGGGGCAAGGGAGGGCCACAGACACACTGCAACGGTTGGACTCTTCAGGTGGTCCAGCCCTAGGCAGAGATGGGTGTGTGAGAGAGAACTCTGCTCTACTTGGGAGAAGTGTGAGTAGGTAGGAGCAGACCTCTGGATCACTCCTTGGAGGTAAGTCATCCCAGGGGCCTTAGATCAGGTGACTCTAAGAGGACAGTGTGTTGATGCATCCTCTACAGGTGGGACAAACCTTTCCTTAAAGGGGTAGCACCTCACACTAACACACACACACACACACACACACACACACACACACACACACACAATGTTAAGAATCAGTTTTGCCCGGGAAGTGTTATGGTTTATAGTATATATCTGGATGTCCCCCCAAAGCCTCCTATGCTCATAGGTGAGCCTCCGGGAGGTGACAGGGTCATGAGAGTGTGACATCTATTCCACTAAGGAGTTTACAGCTAAATGTGACATTGGGAGGGGGTCACTGGGGGCTGGGCTGGGCTCTGCAGGATGGCTCTGTCTCCCCCATCCTCCCTTGATCACCCCTGCATTCCACTGCCAAGCCATGAGCTCTTCTCCTCTACTATTGCCCCTCTGCCATGCTTCCCTGCCTCGGAACTGGCTGACCTATGGACTGAAACCTCTCCAAACTGTGAGCCAAAATAAACCTGTCATCCTCTTAGCTGTGGATGTCAGGTGTTGTGTCTCAGTGATGGAAAATTAAGACAAGAGGCAAGGGCAAAGCTAAGACTCACAGGGCTCTGGCCAAGCCCTTCAGGGAGATGGTCACACCTGTGTTGGCAGTGATCCTCTGTCGCTGTGGAGAAGCTAACCCTCTGCTTTTTCCTGAGGGCAAAGATCATGTCTTTGAGGGACCTGGCAGACAAAGGGATTCTTTTCACAAGTTGGCTGAATGATCCAAGGGAGCAAAATCAATCGATCAATCAATCAATCAATTACCACTTCTCTTCCTCCAGTTATGGAACAATCAAACTGGGAAAAGTCATAGAGGCAAGAGATTGTACAGGAAGTGAGGGACTCAAGCAGGTCCTGAATGCCGACAAAACTGGTAATCCCAGTCTGGCCCTTCCGGAGTAAAGTGTTCACTCCAATCTTGTTTTGCCCCAGGCTTTGAGACTTGCTCTGTCCAGACCTATACTCACGGAGAGAATAAAAATCTATGTAAATTGCCACATGAGCAAAATATGCAGAGAAATTGAGCCCCATGAATTCCACAGGCACATACAAAAACTTCAGCTCTGAATAAAGTGAAGCCTGTGTGTGTCTTCTGCCAAAGCTTTCTGGTGGATGGCAAAAGCTGAAAAGAACCCAGCACAGTTTTATTGATGGCACCACAGAAGGGGCATCTGATGGACGGCACAGTCCAGAAAAGGAAGCTGAGTGGAGGGACATCAGTACACCGTGACCTGGGGCGAATCATTTCACTTCCTCAAGCCCAGGATCTTCATCAGGATCAGGGGGGTTCTTATTCCTACACTGCCACTTTCTAGCATTTCTAGACTGCTAGAAACATGGAAGGCGTCCATCATTAATAAGACAATGGCATCTCGGTGGGCCTATTGAATACTTTGCTGGGTTCAGGCCATGGAGGTCACAGCAAAGGTCCCCCCTTTGGCCTGTGGGGAATGTGCTTATCCTCTGAGAGGAAACTGGTACAATCAACACACGTCAGAACTACGTTCTCAGGGGAGGATATGCAGACTCGAAAAGCACTCAGCAGACATTTACTGATTGTGCTCTCTGTGTCAGGTGCAGGGCTGTAAGAATGTGTGAGAGACAAACACCCCATGTGCGTGTGGACTTACGTTCTGGAAGAAGGCAGAGCATCCACAAAATAAATGACTGAACAATGTGGCATAGGACAAGGGACAAGGGCCATGGAAGAGGCAAAGAAAAAAGAAAAAGAAAAACATGGACTAACAGATACAAAGAGATGCATCTGGGGCTGCAATTTCTTTTTTTGTCTTTTTCGTTTTTATCGGTACCGGGGATCAAACTCACGACTGCCTGCTTGCAAGGCAGGCGCCTATGCTGCTGAGCTAAATGCCCAGCCCAGGGCTGCAATTTCAAATAGGGAGGCTAGGGAAGGCCTAGGAAAACTCAGAATGAGGACAACCAGGAGACAGGTGTTTCCAGCCCTGTGGGATTTTGTCCCAGTTTGCCAGCTCCCCCCCAACCATTGAGCCGCATGGCAGCAGGGACACTAAGATCTCCTTCCACGTGATACCACACACACCCTCACACCACTTCTGTGTCTGCCGGGACAGCTTGTCAGGGAGCTTGGGTCCTGTGTGTGTTCGGTGGGGGTTATGTGTGGAGGCAAAAAGAGCAGAAGCTGTGGGTAGACTTGGAGAGTAGACTGCTATGGAAAGGGCAAGCGTGACATAAATGCCCTGGAGACTAAGAGTTCTGCTCTGAGATTTCACTCAGGACAAGCTGTGGTAGCGGGCAGCACGCAAGACCAGGGAGGAGTAGGGTGCAGTGGGGCTGGGCTCAGGGCTGGACTTACTGACCCTGGCAAGTTGCTTGGCTGGTAAAATGTGCACAGTAATAAGAGCTATGTAGTGGAGTCCTTGTGAGATGGTAAGGAGAAGCTCGGGGTCCAGGGCTTTGGCACCTAGGTTTTTCACTGAGAGCTTTCAATGTCATCGCCACCACCATCAGGCACTGCCCTTGGGCAACATCCCTCCAACTGCAACTGCGCAAGGTAACCTTGTGGAAGGAAATCAATCAAAGAGTTTGCAAGCAGCATTTTAAAATGGAATTGAATAGGATGACTAGAATATATACTTGTGTACATAAGATATGTGTGTGTATGTGTGTGCATTGTACACATGTCTACATAATGCACACATACCCCTACTGTGGGCTACGATGTAGGGTCTGTGAGCCACGGTGTCCGCAAAGGCAATGTTTCTAAAGGGGACATAGGTAGTACTTTGTAAGTTTAGTAAAGTACATATCACTATCTCTATTTTTGCCATGTTAGAATTCCACTGGTATCGTTATTTACCAAACATTTGTTTTTCTTTTTGCAAGGCTGTGTGACAGCGGGCAAGTCTCAATCCTCTCCGGGTTTCTTTCTGCACGTGGAGACAGGCCCAGCCCCACTGTGTTTCTGTGCTTGACCTTCCCATAGCAGTTATCTCCAGAAGCAAAGGACAGGTCCTGCCTGCTCATGGACTAGCTGGGGCATTTTCTAGGGATGTAAGAGAAAGAGGAATCTAGGGCCTTAGGATCTGCCTTTCTCTTGTACACTGAGTCCTGTGGCTGCCCCAAGTTTGCAGAATTTCCTTTCTTGTCCTGCTTTGATTCTATTGATAGGATTAGGTGCCCCCCATGGCCATGCCCTTTGATGTGGTCAGGGGGTAGGGAGGAGGTTTCAGTCCAAGGGAGCAAATCTTAATCTTTTTGGGCTTCTCTGAGATCAGCGCCTGGGTAAACCCATTACATCCCTGCCCTTTCATCCCCCCAGGACACCGGCCCTTCCAGACTCCTTGAATCTCATAGATCCCAAGGGTCCTTCAGATTTGGAGACAACAATAAAAGGGGAAGAGAAAATAGAGCAGGTGCCCTACCCCCTCCTCCAGCACCTGCAGCATCCCCAGCCATCGGTCAGGGCATCTTTCTCTTTCTTTCCTTCTAATCCTGGGCTCCCACAATATGGAGATTATAGAAGCCTGGGGCCAAACTCCTTCCCAGCACCGGGTGCTTCTGCCTTCCATCCCTCCTGGAGCCATGTTCTCTTCTGAGCACCTGCTCATGCAATCTGTCTATCCAGCCAGGAATCCCCTGGCCGGCAGTTAAGAGCAGAGAAACCATTGAGGCTGCCACCGAAATGAGGATGTAAGACATGATTGGGATTTGTGAAGGCAGGGAAGAGACGATAGCAACCTAGCTACCATCCATGCCAGGCCACTAACAGATGTATCTTAGTGTTTTTTTAGACTCCAAGGCTCCACCTGAAAGTGGGGAGACTCAGTCTCAGCAGCTATATTGGCTTCCCCATCACCCTCTCTTCCATAATCCCTGGTGTCCTGGCAGGCTGGAGGCCGGGCTTTTTGGCAGAGGCCTATATATGGTCTAGGGGGTCTTGGCTGACCACACGCAATTCCGGATGTGTGTTGTTTTGGCTTCTCTATAGACAATAGGACAGCAGGTCCCCACCAGATGGAATTCCACTGCCTCTCACCCCTCTTCAGTCTTGAGAAAGCCTCCCCTCAGCCTCGAACTCCTCCTCCACTGCCCCCTCCCCCGGAATTGGCATTTCAAAAAGCACTGTGCAGGCAACCAGCACCAGGAGCTGCAAACACAGATCTCAAGAATGCCCGCTGCCAGGTACCATAAGTGGCTCTTTGCGCTTATTTTCTCCTCGGTTTGCCACCAACGCTCTGCAAGAAGTGCCCGGGCAGCCCCAGGTTCCCAGAGTGCGAGGTCGAGGCCGGCCGCAGGCGCGCTCGCCGGGCAGGGGGCGCGGCCCGGGATCCGAGCGGCCGGCAGGGGGCTCCCCGCGCCGGTCTCCGCGGAAGGAGGCGCTGGCAGCGGCTCGGACGGGTCAAAGGAGGAAAAAGGAAAATTACTGAAGCTCGGGGGCGGGAAGGGCTGCGTGACCAGCAGGAAGGCACCCGAGACTGTCGAGTCAGGCCGCAGGGGTCCAGACCCAGTCCCCAGGGGGACACTGGCAGTGGGGAAAGGGGAGGCCGGAGCCGCCCCTGCCCCCGCCGGGTGTCCTCCGCCGGTGCCGCAGGCTGCGGCTGGCATCGCGGCCGGGGGCGGCGCCGCCGAGGGGCGGGCAGAGGGCGGGCCGGGGCGGGGCGCCGTCCGCTCGGCTGTGGAGGCGGTGCCGGCGGGCGCTGGTCGCGTCCGCCCGCCGAGAACCGCGGGGCGCAAAGCCTTCCTGATGTGTCACCAGCACGTGGAGCCAGGTCGGGTCGTGCGAGCAAGCTGAACCCCCAACTTTCGAGGGGGTCTCGCTACTGTGTTCTCGTCCCAGTCGCGCCAGGCGCGCCCCCTTCGGGGATGGAGCACCGACAGCCCCCGGGTCTGGGGCAGGGGGAACGAGGCCGGGGTTCCGGGCCAGATGCGCGCGGGCCGCCCGAACGTCGGGGCGCGGAGCCCTGGCTTGAGGCTGAGCCACCAGGGTCCTGGCGGCGGCGCGGACTCGGCGCGCGGAGGGCGTGGCCCGCGGCGGGCTGGGGGTGCCTGCGCCCCAGCCCTTCAGCCCTTCAGCCCTGGCCGGCGCCCCTCGGAGCCGAGCTCAGGTAACGCGGCGGCGCGGCGCGGCGCGGGAGCGAGTGAAGTTTCTCGACGCATAACTCGTGCGCCCGGCGGGGACGCGGGGTGGGGAGGCTCGGGCCCCGCACCTCCCCCATCGCGAACTGTCCTTCGGCCTGCGCCGGGGCGGCCGGGCGGCCTGGAAGCTTCAGAGCTCGCTGCTGGTCGAGGTCTGGCGGGACAGGTGACCTCTCTGGGGGAAGGTGCTTGGGGGAGCAGAGTGCGGTGCAGAGAGGAGGCGGGCTGAGGAAGTCCGTCGGGGGACTCAGCGCACCCCGAACTCCGAGGCGGACGGGAGCTGAGGGCTGGGTCTTTGCGGGCGAGATGAGGGTGTCGGTTCAACTGGCCTACAAAGTCCCAGTCCTCGGCCCCCAGGACCGGCGTCTCCTCCGCTGTCCTCGTCCCAGCCTGGCTTCCACCCGGGTTCGCCCCTCGGGGCGTGGGCTCCAGCCCCTGCCCAGACTGGAGCAAAGGGTTGCAAGTCGCACGCAACGCAGACTGCGCAGATTGGGGGGACCCCCGCGATGCGCAGGGTACGTGGCAGTGTTCTCTAAAGTGTGCGGCGAACATTCCCTGGGGGCTGTGCTCTCCCGGTGGAGGTGGACCTGGGGTGAGAGGAGAGACAGCCGCACTCACTGGTGGCCGAGCCCAGCCGGCCCACCATGGTCTAGCTTTTGGGCTGTTCAGGGTGGCAACCTTGAGCTTGAAAGTGGGGAGGACCAGTTTATTTCTAGACCTGCTTCTGAGGAGGTGGGTTTGGATGTGGTGCTTTAGCCCCTGTGGAGTGGGAAACCTCTGTCTCTCCCCCAAAACCATGTCTTTAAAGATGTGTGTTTGTGGATGTGTCTCCTACTGGCTGATCTTTTGTTCCCTGACACATGCAACATTGGTGTCCTATGCCAGCCCTCTTCAAGTTTTATGATGAAATTCTTTAAACTGAATTCCTCAATAAGTTTGATTCTACCTCCCTCCCCTGAAGAAAACCCCCCACTAACCTCTGAAATCTGAAGTTGACTTTTTTGTCATTTTCTGTTGTGTTTGGTTGTTTTCTCAGGGAAAGCCTTGCAAAAACATGCAGTGAGGTGACTTAAGTTGTGTGAAGAGCAAGTTGACAAAATAGGCCACCTCTGGCCCCCTTCTTGGCATTGGGAAATAGGAGAGGTTTCTAGAAGCATGGAGGAGCAATTAGAAACTAGCCTGGCCAGGCTGGCTCACCTCTTGGGAGGTTGTGCAAAGATCCATAAAATGGCATTTTCTGCCAGTTGGGGCACACTTGTAATCTCAGCATTTGGGAGGCTGAGGCAGGAGGATCACTGTGAGTTTGAGGCCAACCGGGGCTGCTTAATCAAGTTCAAGGCCAAACAGCCTGCACTATGTAGTGAGACCCTGTCTCAAAAATAAATAAAGTAAGTAATTAATTAATTAAAAGCAGCATTTCCCCCCAGGCTCAGTGGTGACCTCTGTTTGCTGCCTACAGAGATGTCCTTGTGGGAATCATGCCAATGTCACCATGCCTGTGTTGGTAGGACATAGGTCTGGGGACAGGTATAGAGGAGAGTGAGGAGAGCTTTGGGGTTACTGAGACAGAACTGGGCCCAGGAGCTCTGCTGTTGGCTAATTTTGGCCATGCAAGCCCTGTCCTACAGGTCTCTGTTAGTGGAATATGCACATGCCAGCATTATGGGAGAAACAAGTTTCTTTGGCTGTGGGGTAGATTTCAGAGATTCTTGACAAATTCTAAATTTTGCGACTATTGTCTGGGAGTGGAATTGGTAGGAATTAAAACTGGAGATCTTGCCCCTAATTAAAAATGCTGTGTTGGGCACCGAATCAGATTGGGAAAACAAAGTTCTCCCTTTGAACCAACTTTTCTCCCAGCCCCAGGATCAATATGGAAAGTAAATGAGATGGAAATCTCCACAATAGTTTATGGTCAGGAGTGGGCTTCAGAAGAAAAGCATGCCAAGCTGGATACTTATACCAACCCTGGAGGGGATGGCAAGAAAAAAAAGGCTGGAATAAGGCAGACAGGAGAGAGGAGCCCTTTTGGCCTGGTTTTAGTGTCTTAGTTTTCTCTCCAGCTGTGCTTCATTCTGTCTGGCTGGTCAGGGCTTTAGGGATTTTTAGGAAATGACTTTGATACTGCATCTGTTTGAGAGAAATAAGTGATTAGAATTTTTTCCTTGATTTGTTTGTTTGTTTGTTTGTTTGTTTGAGACAAAGTCTTACTTTAGTCCAGGCTGTCTTTGAACTCACTATGTAGCCTAGGCTGGCCTGGAATTCAGCAATCTTTTTTGTCTCAAGTTTCTGGGTGCTGGGATTATAGGTGTGTGCCACCACGCCCAGTTCTCTTACAATTTTTTTTTTCCTTCTCACAATGTGATTGAATCAGCTAGGCAGTGGTCTGAACTGGCCTGGTCTGCAGAAGCCAGTTGTTGCTGTGATGGAAGTAGATTCATTTAGGATTTGCATTTTAGTTGAGTGCTTTGTGACTTTGTTGTCCCTTTTGAATTCTCTGTCCTATAACAAACCTCTCCTTCCTGCCCCAACCCTACCTCTAATCCTTCAGAAAATGGATAGGAAATGTAGCTGGACAGTCAGGTTTGTTTGCCCCAGAGCCTTCTTCAGGAAGCAGCTAAATGCAAGGTGGAAAGCTGGTGGGAGGGGAAAGATTTTAGCCAGATCCCCAGGGAGACCCACACTGGACTCCAGGTTCTGCCTGCTGGGAGGAAATTCACATTCCCTCAACTCTTAAGTAAATTGCAACCTGGTGAATAATTAACTTCCCCTTCTGGCTTTACTTTTAAATAAAACCCCCACCTATTAAAGATTAGAGATCAATTTTTGCCCAGTGGCACTGGAATGACAAAGGATATGTTGGACTAAGTGGTGTCCTTCTCCCTACCTGTAACCCTAGCAAGCCAGGCAGTCCTGGAGCAAGTTTACTTCGAAATGCCTCCAGGGTTTCAATGTGGCCACCCCTGCAGGGCCTCAGAGCTGCTTCACTGGGTCTCTTTCTGTGTCCCTGCCTGAAGCTGAGCTGTCTGAACTGTCCTGGATGGTGAGGATTTTTGCTCCTCCACTTTGTGTAGCAAAAGCTTGGCCTTCACTACTTTGTGGAATTGAGTCCCCCGCCAGGCTGGTTTGCGGCTTTCTGTGCGGGCTGGTAAATATTTGGGTAGTCTGAGTTCTACACTGAAGCACAGTGCTTTAATCTCTGATAAGTCCCCGAAAGAGAGTTGTCTGTGAAGGAAGAACCATTTTGGTTTCCAAGAAGAGTTTTTTTCTTTGGAAGCAGCCCAATAAAGGCCATGAAGGTGTATAGCGGCTCCAGTTCTAACTCCTCAGCCAGCTGGGTGGCCTTTCCCAGTGACTTGTCTGTGTCCCAGTTTCTTCCCTTGTGAAATAAGGCTTTTGATACCTACCTTGTCAAGGTGTGGCAAAGCTTGTATGAGAAAATGTATGTGTAGTTCCAAGAACAACCCAGTGAATCTTCAGTGGTTAGCCCTCATCCTCTGGGCTCTTTTCTCTTGGAACTGCTTGGGTATGCTTGTTGCTTGTTGTGGAGAGATGGAGGCCTCAGGCTTGTGGGCCTGACACATTCTCAGGTTGACTCCGTAGTTCACCAGCATGTGGCTTTGGATAAATTATTTAATCCGCCGTTTGCAACAGCTTCATGATCAGAAGGCGGGGTGATACCCCAGAGGTGTTCCCTGGCCTAAGTCTGGGTTCTTTTGGTTTTTATTATTAACCACCTCTTTGCCAGATGCTGGGGCAACAAGAGATATTGTGGGTAAAGATGGGCTTGGTTCCTCACTGCCCACATAGCTTTTACCCCAGTCGTTAAAGTGTGTGAGGGGTATCGGGAGGCCTCATTTTGTGGCTGAGACTGAAATTCAGAGATGAATGGGCTCTTCCTAGGATCTCTCCGCTGGCCTTTGGGGCAGCAGAAACAGGCTCCAGCCTTTGGGGTGCAGTCTTCCAGATCTGAAACCAGCAAGCTTCAGCTGTAGCTCAGGAGGTAGATGGGTCCGGATTAGCTAGAGCCCTGCCTTGCAGATGTGGCACCTAGCACATCTGCTCTGCAACGCAACCAGCCTGGAACGCCCAATGTCCGCTTGACATTGAACACATTTCATAAGAGATCCCAGAAAGGCTTTTGAGCTGCCACAGCCACTGCAGGCCTGCTTGCTTGCTGGCACCCAGTGGGCAGGCTCAGCACACTCTTACTGGGACAAAGAAATGGGGAAGGAGAAAAAAAAAAATCATGTTCCAAGAAACAGGCTGATAATAATGATCAGATTGGAAAAATCAGAATTTTAGGGGACTTGTCCTTTTTTTATGTCACAGTGATATTTTTATTTGGAATTTTACACGGGAGGTGGGGATCCACCCTCATATTTTCAGTGCTTAAGTCTTAAGTAGCCCTGACTGTCCCTGGAGCTTATAGTACAGGTGACTTCTCCCCCATTGAGCATGCTACCTCCTCCCTTTGGCACGCGCTGGGGAATTTTGAAATTTCCCTATAGCCAGACCACCTTATGTTTACTGCCCTGGAGAACTAGACAGAAAGGTGCTGGGTGGAAAGAACTGTTTTAATCTCAGGTCTGCAACACTGGGACCGAGCACCCCTCTGTCCAGTAAGTGAGTGAGTGAACTGAATGAACTGTCCCCCTTTGGAGCCTTAACAGGCCACTGAGAGTCAGAGCCAGGAGGTGATGCTGACACTGAGGGGAGCCCAGCTAGAACCTGGGGCTGTGGTCAGGAGGAGTGGGAGGGACTCACTGCACCTATGAAATTTGGACCTTCCTAGGAAGACTATGTGGTTCATTCTCAGGAAGCCAGCTTGTGTCTGTTCCGTCATTGGCTTTTTGGCCTGGGAGCTGTGGGGTTGAAGGGCAAACACTGGCTTCTGCTTCTTGGTGATGAAGGTTTAAATTCTCGTGTCCCAAGCAAACATGTTGGAAATAATCCTTAATCTACCCCA